TAGCTTGTGCAGTCTTGTACCATTATTCACATATATGGGAAAATATGTCTACAATATAAGAATCACCGGCTGAGTTTACTACATGTAGATTGAAAACATTTTTAAATTATCGCGTTGCTCTCTCTAAGATGTAGATAAGCGTGTTGGGGGCAAAAGTCTCGTGTATATATCATCTGGAGATCGAATTACCTCTAGAATGTGTAATCCCCCGAGTGTTATTCAGCCGATCTAACTGGTGTCACGGGTCTACTTATCTACACACGTATTTTAGCACTTGGGCACCTTTTCATTCTTTATAAGTTTTTTTTTTTTTTTTTTTTTTGAGGCGGAAGTCTCCTCTGCCGCCCAGGCTGGAGTGCAGTGGCCGGATCTTCAGCTCACTGCAGCTCCGCCTCCCGGGCTCACCGCCATTCGTCCTGCCCTCAGCCTCCTGAGTAGCTGGGACTACAGCGCGCCCGCCACCTCGCACCGGCTAGTTTTTCTGTATTTTTTAGTAGAGACGGGGTTTCACCGTGTTAGCCGGGATGGTCTGCGATCTCCTGACCTCGTGATCCGCCGTCTCGGCCTCCCAAAGTGCTGGGATTACAGGATTGAGACTTTTTTTGTTTTTTTAAGCGACAGAGTCATCGCTTTATGCGCCCAGGCTGGAGTTGCAGTGGCAAGAGGATCTCGGCTCACTGCAACCTCCGCCTCCCGGGTTCAAGTGATTCTTCTGCCTCAGTCTCCCGAGTAGCTGGGATTACAGGCATGTGCCACCACACCTGGTGAATTTTCATATTTTTAGTAGGGGTGGGGTTTCACCATGTTGGCCAGGCTGGCCTCGAACTCCTGACCTCAAGTGATCCACCAGCCTCAGCCTCCCAAAGTGTTGGGATTATAGGTGTGAGTGACTGCGCCAGGCCCTTTAGAAAGTTTTGAGATGGCTTTCTGTTTAATGTCTGTAGACCAACCTGAATGTCAAGGGATTTTGTTTTTCAGATGGAACAGTAATGAAAGTATCACAATTAGCAAGCTTTCTAAAAGCAAAAACTGACCCCCCTGATATTATTTTTAAAAAGTCAGTATTTTTGAAGGAAATTCCTCTGAGAGAATTTCCCAGAATGTGTTCTGAAGCTGAGAACATACCTGAATTTTCTATCAGTTACAATCATATTCTGAAGGTTTTGGTAGAGCTATCTTGGAAACAAAAGCTGAAAAAGGCAAAGGGTTGAACAGTGGACACATCTTTTAACCATACGATCTGGGAATGTCTTAGGATTGCTAGTAAGGTTGCTTTCTATAACAAGGTGCTTACTCTGTTTCTTCTCAGGCTAAAATAAACCTTTATCTTAAAATACAATCAATTATAAGATTTTGGCCAGCGTGGTGGCCCACACCTGTAATCCCAGCACTTTGGGAGGCCAAGGCGGGCGGATCACTTGAGTCCAGGAATTCAAGGCCAGCCTGGCCAACATGGCAAGACCCCATCTCTACTAAAAATATAAAAATTAGCTGGGCATGGTGGTGCATGTCTGTAATACCAGCTACTCAGGAGGCTGAGGCACAAGACTTAATTTGTTTTTCTCTATTTCTGTACAGCTGTAATTGATGTTTATATATAATTTGGTATACCAGCCTTTACAGTTAACATATTGTTTTGTTACTGTCTTTATAGCCTTTGTTACCATTATTTTAACAGTTGTATAGCATTTCAAGTAAGTTGTGTCATGATTTATTTAATCACTGCTTCTACTCCCATCCTCAATCTTAGTTTGTCCTTGAATCATTGGTTTACTTATTAAGACCAATGAAAATAACATTGGAGTCAGAGCCAAATGACTTGGACAGTGTAGCTTTGCCAAATTCCATAATCTCCTTAGCCCTGTTTCCCATCTATCATATGTGAATAACAGTGACTGGCCCCTGCCTACCCCCAAACACTTAACCTGTCTCAAGGAAAAGAAGTAAGACCTGTCCTCTATTACTTGTGATTTCCATTAAATAAATGGAATAGATAATTAAACCAGGCTAATACTCTCAACTTAATAATGAAAACAATTTTTAAATTATCTTTCTAAACATAGATAAGCTATCAGCGTATAGCAAATTGTAATTCAATTACCTCTGAGTTTTGGTTTCCCCAATTATTTCAGGGTTCTGGTAGGTCCTTACTTATCTAAAGTATTTTAGACTTGGGACCGCTTTTCTTCTTTATAAGTTTTTTTTTTTTTTATTTTTTGAGGCAGGAGTCCTCGCTCTGCCGCCCAGGCTGGACGTGCAGTGGCCGGATTCAGCTCACCTGCAAGCCTCCGCTCCTCCGGGTTTCACGGCCATTTCCTCCCTGCCCAGCCTCCCTGAGTAGCTGGGACTACAGCGCCCGCCACCCGCCACCCGCGCCGGCTAGTTTTCTTGTATTTTTTAGTAGAGACGGGGTTTCACCGTGTTAGGCCGGGATGGTCTCGATTCTCCTGACCTCGTGATCCGCCGTCTGGCCTCCCAAAGTGCTGGGATTACAGGCTTGAGCTTTTTTTTTTTTTTAAGACAGAGTCTCGCATTTAAATCGGGCCCCCAGGCTGAGTTGCAGTGG